TAACGCTGCCACGCAGACCAGTGCTGTAACGGCAGAAACTGGCACTCAGACTTCTGTCGCTGCTAGAGTGACGGGCACCCAGACTTCAGTTTTGCTGAAGACTGCAGTGACACAGACGAAGGAAAATGAGTACACAGAAACACCACTGCTTCACAGGAAGCTGTCAAAAGAAGGATCTTCTCTGTCTGGAATGGCTGTGTCAGGTTCTAGCCTACGATCGCTGTCTTCCTCATCATCGCAGTGCTCTCTGGCAAGCTCCACCAGCTCGCTGTCATCTCTCCGGTCCTTTGAATACTCTAGCAGTCACAGGGCACAATATTTCCAAAAACTGCACAAAGAGAGGCAATTCCACTACTCCACCATCCGGTCGAAGCTCAGCCACATGGTGGATATCCTGTCCCGGCGGGGACGCGTGCCTGGAAGCTACGTGACCCAGTACACCGGAAGGTGCGATCTGAAGCAGAGGCGTGACATCAGCGCCAGCCTGCGCAGCCTCCGGGATGTTTCACTCTTTTCTCTGAATAAATGATGACTGCACTGAGTGCAGGATGCAAAAGCTGCAGCCTCAAATTGCAGCCACTTCCCACCTGCTGATTCTTCCACTTCCTTCCAGCACTTTCACTTTTTTAATGCATGTGTACATTGCTCTTCAGCACTTTGTTTTATACTATGCAATTTAAGCAATAGAAAAGAGGGGTTTGTTTATACTGTAAGTACTTGCATGTTCCTTTTCCGCATTAGTGGTGAAGGTTCCTTTTAATTCTGGATGTTTAACCTGAAAAGTAAACTTCTTACTGATTTTGAGGATTGCCCTGGCTCTGGCTTTAATTTATGTAAACTTGAAAAAAAAAAAATCTGAGTCAGACTGTTCTTCCTCAGAACGGCTTTGGGGATTTAGCTTACATCAAGGTATACTCATTTTTTAATATTGGCTTTTACTTCTACCTTATATTTGGCTTGAGGGGAAACAACTTTTATAAAGAGCCGTGAATCTAATTTTATTCCAAGTCTGACTTCAGAGATATATATGTCACAGTTACATTAAAATTGTGAACTGTCTGTTGGAGCAGTTGCAGATTCTCATCTTGAACTGTATCCTTTCTCCCTCGTTTAAGCCTGCTGAAATAGACTGAGCTAACTAGCTCTTCGGTTTGGTCATCCCCTCATGCCTTTGTGTTACATATATATATGTAAGTGTGTGTGTGTATATACACATCCTCAGAAGAGCATCTTTTTAAAATCAAGACCAGGAAGCAGCAACTTAGCACTCCAAGACAGCTGTACCCATTTTAGGTACAGTCCTGACACACGTGTTTGTAGTACTCAGAACTAAAAGCTGGATGTGCCGGACCTGTAAGAACATGAATGGGACCGCATGGCGGAAGTGTCGGGGTTTTGTGCTTGTGGGTGGGAGATGAGGTGACACCTGCAGCTCAGGGTCGAGCTGCAGCATACCTGTTCTACTTCTCTTTTGGGATGACTTCAGAGAACTTTGGCTCTTGTGCAACTTGTTTCTCAGAATTAAGATTTTTCATCTTTGCACTGTAAAATGAGCTTCCAGTTCTGGCTTGGTCTAGGAACCTCTGAACCATCTTGCTTCCATTAAGAGACCAGTAAACAGCACCCTTCTTTGGAGTGAACTTGGAGGCAAGACAGTCGCTGAGGGAACATCGCAAAGCCCCTGTTCAGAAGTAAACTGACAAATGCACTACAAGATGTTACGGGTTATGTTTGCTAATACTATTGTACAAGTAAGTGTAAAAGTGGAAAACACCCTATTTTTCTGTTTAAATTCTACTAGCTGAAATCTACTGTGTTTCCTGCTGTTTACCCTTTATCCACTGCTAACTTGGTTTGAGGGGCTGAAGTGCCAGTGTAGTTTTTGAAAATACTCTGCTTTCAATAATAAATGGATCTTGGGTAGAGTTCCTCTGCAGAAACATTACCTGCATGTTTTTAGCAGTACTGGGTGCGTTTGTGCTTGCTGGATCACTGCTTCGAGCAGTGTGTGGATTGTCTCTCTGAGCTCTGACCTGTACTGTTGTTACTCTTTAGACCTGCATCCCAATATTTTAGTGGCCAACCAGACTGAATGTTGCCCAGTCAAATAAATCAGAGTCTGGGTCATGTATTTGATTCCTCTTTACAGGCACACGTGTCCAGTAGATGGCACATTGCAGCTGCTGGCCTGAGTATTCCCATAAACAGCAAAGAGAGTGAACGAGCAGAAAAACGTCCAAAACTCAACAAGTCTGCAACTTGGGTGTAGACAGCAACACTTTATTCTGCTACCTTTGGCATTTCTGTCCATTCTGTCCATATGGACATTTCTGAAATCCATATGGACAAAGAGGCTTTGCTACTTGCACTGCTTGGATGTCACAGCAGCCCCTCGGTCCCTGGAGCTGTAAGGCAGGGTAGGGGGGGAGGACACAGGCTCTGTCTGTGCTTGTCGGAGAAGGGGAGATGCTTTCTCGCGTGGCCCCTGAGCTGGAACAGCGGGAGCAGTGCGAGTTGCAGAGAGGGAGCCGGGATCCACCTGCAGAGCCAACCTCGAGCTGTATTTTTCAGAGCTCGTGTTCGGTGGTGCTTGAATGGATGTAGGATCAACGTGTTTGTCCGTGTGCTTCGTTACACTGTGCAGCTGCGTGCTACTCACAGCAACAAGGAGCAGTTTACACATTTTATCCTCATTTTGCCGTGGGGTTTTCACCTGATCGGTGTCGAGATTTGCTTTCTATTTACTTGGTATCTCGCATCCCCCTGCCTAACGCGGT